GAGTTTGTAGTTCATCCACTCACGTGGAACCTAATCACTTCATGTGTGCATTTGGCTTGATGCTGCCCACTGATTTCTGATCTGTAATTTGCCTAGCTGACTGCTCTTTCCTGCAATAAAAGCAGTCCCTAACATACAGAAGGAAGTTGATTTTTTTTAGCAAGTGTGAAAGAATGCTGTTTTCAGTCCTGTCTGGTAGAAAGTGGAAAGAGAAGACAGCCTAGCAAGCATCCATGTAACATTGTTTTTACCTTTCTTTCAATCTGGATGAGACGATTTAAGCATGGTAGCACATTGAGACTGAACATGTTGTCTAATCATTCCTTGATAACTTAGATGCAAATCTGCTCACCTTATTCCTAAATCTGCTCTGCTCCTCAGAGGTAACTTAACCTTCCTGCCTGGACAGGTCCTCTCTACACAGGACGCAGCAAAATGCTTTGCCTGTTATTAATATTTTGTGGGTTATTTTCTCCAACAAAAGGTCCATTTGATCCCATTTCCTAAAGCATTATGATTCTTTAAGCCTTTGAGCCAGTGTGAGATGGGAAGATGAAAGACGGACCATGCACTCATAAACATGCTGCAGCATACAACTTTCATCTGCTCCGACGTGGGCAGAGCCACCGACATCAGTGGAGTAAAAGCAGCTTGAACAAAATATAGCACTGGTCCTATCATATCTGTTGCTTAGATTTAGATAAATGTTCAAACCTGAGCTAAGTAAATGTTATGTAGGAAGGTAGCACAGGACTGGAGGGCACTAGGTGGGTCAATGAGTCAGGTCCCACACAGCTGCACAATGAACACTACATGCAGAGACTGTGTGCTCTGCCTCTTTGTATCCAAAATATTTTGGATGTCTTGTAACTGCATATAGAATTAGCAATAGAGGGAGAGAAGGCGAAACCAAGGACATCACTGGTCTCCTAGGTCCTTGCAAGGGCACTGATTCATGAGGTGACATTCCCCGAGAACTCTAGGGAGCTGCCTTCTGGCACTGCAGTGCCTAGGGTTTCTGTATATCTAATCTGGAGGCCTATTTCCTCCTAAATCCTAATCACATGATTGGCTTAATCCTGTTTTAATCTCAAAACTGGTTTAATCAAGTAAACATAAAACCAAGTAAACCTTGCTGTGCACCTCAGCCAAAAAGAGATGCGAGGCCCCTGAAAGGCTCCGGTGTGTTTCTCAGAAATGTTAGGATCAATAGGAGCATTATTGTTTCTTCACTATACTGAGACATCCAAATCAAAATAACCTTATTTCAAAGGTGTCTTGTGCCTCTCATGCATTGCAACATGAGTTAGAAGTAGTGATTATTTCTATTAAGCAGAGTGATGACCAGATGTTACATGAAAGAGGGTTCACCAAT